CCCTAAAATATTCTCAAACAACTTCAGCAACCTTTCTCTACTGCCACTTTCTGCTGAGTCCACACACACAAATAAGCTCTTTCCTACCTCAAAATAAACATTGAAACTGTCATTTCCTTTTCTCTTTCTAATACTGGCAAAAATCTTAGAGAGACAGACAGGGAGAGAGAGGGAGAGAGGGAGAGAGAGAGAGCACGTGAGCGAAAGGAGTCTCTCAGTACCACTTTGACTTCCCTACAGCTCCTTTGAAAACATTTCTGGCCTCACCTACTCCAGGTAGAGCCTTCACCTCCATCCTGCCAAGAAGAGCATCATGTTCTGCTATCACAAACAAATATGAGATCATACAATGTTTTTAAGTACCACTCCCCTCCCCTTGCATTGTCAGACACTGTCTGAAACAGAGAGGCGACCCACAACACGCGAAAAACAAATGACAGTAAATGCTCCTGGTTGTCCTCAATACTCTAACCAATCTTGCACCATCAAGTCTGGCATTAACAAATGTTTGTCTTTCAACTCTTCCTATGCATTTGTACTTGAGGACTTTATCCACTCACTCTGCCCTAATCTCTATTGCAATACTATTCTCCTGTAGACCCTGAAACACTCCTACAATAGTCTTCACCCATTCTCCACTACAACAGCTGTACTGAAGGGTTTAATTACTTCCCAAATCACCCCAGTATGTAACCTAAGACAAAGGGAAAGGGCTGGGAGACTACCGGCCCAGCCCAGGTTTATCACTAATCAAGCATACGAATTCAAGGAAGTTACTTAATCCTGAGAACTATACTTCCTTGAAAGCTAGAGTGAAATCTTCAGTCTCCTACCATCCCTACACACATCTATGCATTCTTTCTCAAATTTCATGCTGTCTGTGATCTTTAATTTCTACCTGTCAAACTTCCATTTCTAAAGTTATCTGGACTTATTTTCTTCCACAGTTTCTCAAAATTGTTCCCTTTCCATTTCTTCTGCTATCATGTAGTTCATGTGTGAATTTCTTTGACTATTACATTTTATAGGAACTACTTTTTACTTGAAAGACAGTTATAGAGAGGGAGAAACAGAGATCATCTATCCATGGGTTCTCTCTCCAAATGGCGGCAACTGTTGGTGCTAGGCTGGTCCAAAGTTCGAAGCCAGGAGCTTCTTCCACATCTCCCACAAGGGTACTGACGCCCAAGGCCTTGGGCCATTCTACACTGCTTTCCCAGCAATCTGGATAGGATTTGGAGCACCCAAGAATTGAGCTGGCATCCATATGAGATGCCAGTGCCAACAGATGGAGAAATAGCCTGTAACACCACCACAATGGCCACTTGGCTATTGTATTTTAACAGCATTTTGGTATTTCTCTTTTCTGGGACCCATTCTATTCCCTCATTTGAAAATATTAGAAACTCCCCTTATTTGTCTTATTAAGTATACTCTTTGTAATTATGTAGTAAAGACAATTAATCTTTACTTTCCTGATCTTTACATCCTAAGTAGATGATCTCTACTTTCCTAATTTATTTCAAGTTATTTCTTACTTAAAACGCAAAAAAGGTATACTTCTCACAAGTTTGTAACAAGTAGAGCAATCAAGCTGTCTTGAGCCAATGACCATCCTGTGATGGGAGCCCTAAATTAGTCTAACATATCTACTTCCTCCCTTCTGAAACATAATGCAAATATACAGTATTTCTTCTTTCCCATATTCCAGCTCCCACATACAGCTTAGTTGTATTCATCTGACTCTTCAACATTTCCTTCTCTGCTTCTGTCCTTAACTCTTGCTCCATTGAAGCTGTCCTGTCTTTAGAAACCAATTTAAATTCATAACAGATTTCAATGCTGTAACTAGACCAAAAAAGAGTTATGAATCAAGAGGAGGCAGGACTAAAGAAGCACTGCTAATAAGCCAACTCTTCGCTTAGTAGACATTATGCTTGGGTTTCTGATCCAATTTCTCTCCATTATACCATAACAAGCTACACTGCGAATGCTACAGTCTGTGTCATATACATCACTTTTCCAGGAACTGTATCATCCACCCGTAACACCCCTACTCACCAGTCCTCTTCACTCAGAATTCACCCTATCCTAAATCCACTTGTCCAGGTCCCCTGCTCCCTGAGGTGGTAGGACAAACAACCCTGACGTCAAAGGACCTCACTGCCAGTAATGGTCTACTTGCCTTTTTTCCCCTCATAGGAATGTAAGCTCTTTGAGGGCAAAAAAATTCCAAGATATTTCTAGGAACAGAGGATATTCAGCTGTAGGTCAGTGAATACTGAGATAAAGATGAAGGATTAAATAAATGGAGGGTGCAGGGTAGCATTAAGTAGTTGAGGGGAGACAGAGAAGGACAACAAAGCAAAATAACACAACCACCCTTCTTAAATGCACAGAAAATCCAGGCATCAGCACCAGGCCAGCAACAACCCCACACATGGCTGCCCTGAGGACTCCAATTTCCAGCCACCTAAACAGGGGTCACAACCACTCAAATGCTGAATGGATGATGGACAATATCATATTAACTGCCTGCACGGGAGACCTTATCATGAAGCTTCATGTTTTAATACTCCATGAGGGACAAAAATGCTAAGCAATGGTTTTCCTAAACGTTTCATAGAAGCCATTTAATCACAGACATACCACTATCTACACAGTAAGACCGTTGGAAATTAAGGAAAAATTTAGGCAATATATTTAAATCTGGATCTGGCATGAAAAAGATGGTTTAAAAAAATCAGACATGTGAAATACACACGTTCTTCAAGCTCCCAGAAAACCTTTTCATCTCAGATGATGTATATCACTCACCTCAAAAGCTTGTCTCCAATATCTAATGATACCTGACACTTGCAAATTAAATAATTAAGTGAGGCCAAGGGGTTAGAGCTTGGCTTCATCATCTTCGCAATTTGTGAATTCCACTCATAAAGATTCAACAGCACACCAAACCTTATGGCTCCCTGCTATTAAATCGGGTCCTTCAGGCCACAAATGCGGCCACAGAGACATCATTTAATACAACAAATTACTGTACTAATTTGATTCGGTTTATTGATTCTGTGCAAAACCAGCCAAAGTAGGGTGGAAATTAGGAGGCAGCTGACTTGATAGAACTCAGACAATCTCTTTGATCATTTCTACCTCTAACATTCAAGAAATGAGTAATTCAGAGGTCATTCAAGAGCTAAGTCTTAAGACACATACTACAAAGGCCAGGGATCAGGTGAATGAAAGCAGTGCTGGTCTGTACACTGTTTTTGACATCTGAAAGGTGTACTAACATGATGAGAACCCAACAGAGACACTGCTCATGACCAATGAACCAATGCCAATGAATACACAGGGGGTCAACAGGACCTCGTGCAGTCTCCAGCCAACCTCACTGCCCTTGATAGTGACAAAGAATTTGGTTCCTTCGCAATTTTTATTTTTCAAGTAACAGGTACACAAATGCAAAGCTTACTCATATTGTACCTGAGACTGAGCTTGTTAAACGCCATGTTCCATATAAGCTAAATTATTTGAATTACTGCTTTCAAAATTACATAATGATTTATTTTTACATCTTCAAGCTTAAACACATAGGAGGGATAGTAGTGACGTGGACTCGCAGGCATCTTTCTAAGACAAAAAGCCAAAGTCAATTAGCAGAACTAACTAATATTAACAGAAACAACATTTTTCCAGAGTTTGGGTAACTACTGGATTTGCTTGGTAACAAAACCTGAATTCTTGAGTTGGATGAACCATCTAGTTCAGCATATATATTTATCATCTCAAACTATTGGCTATAGGAAGAATTATGCACCTGCTTTTGAAAAAGATAAATAGCTGAAGGTCATTTGACTTTTAAATCTTCTCCCAATTTCAATAGGCACTGTACAAACCCAATTTAAAAAAACAAAACAAAAAAAAGCCTTCACCAAGAACTAGGGAGTTGCTTAACAAAGGCCACTTAATGAAACTACAGTTCAGATACATGTAAAAAAAATTCACTGCATAGAAAATATTTATGAGTTTACTTTCCTAATGTATACAATTGCGTCCTTGTTTCTTCTGCCCTGCAAATCACATCAGTGAGAACAGAAAAATCTTAAGAGACAACACACAGCCTTTCCATAATAAAAGGCTGAACACAAAAAAACAGAATCTGGCTTTTTTTTCTTTAAAGACCTGATACGCGTTTCTCTTTCAGAAACGCTAGAAATTTCCGATACACCGCACTTTTCGCAAACGTTTGGCCACAAAACCCATCTATCTACCGCACCTCTGCAATCCGCAGTCAACCAGTGGCACTAAAACCTCAGAGGGGCACTGCTCCGGGGCACGAACTCGGCGACTCCATTCCAAAGATCCCACTCCCAGGCACTGGCCTGCCTTTCATCTCACCTGCCCTGTGAATATTTCAGCGGAAAAAAACGAAGCCGGTGCCAAGATCAGTTAAGTCGTTAGCAGACGGGAGTTTTACCGAGAGGAGGAGTGGCGCGTTGGGATGTTTCCGAGCTCCGGGTCTTAGAGGAAGTTCTCTCCCGTCCGGGAGATCTGAGCTTCGGGAGCCGCTGAGATTCCCAGCAATGGCTCCAGGACCCGACCCAGCGCGGCAGGGACCGCAGCAGCCGCAGCCCAGGGCTCGGCAACTACCATTCAATTCACGTCGCCAACGACGACGACCACCACCACCCCGCCCCCTTACCCTCCCCAAGCCAGCACCGAACTCTCCAACTGAGAAGGATTCGACTCCATACCACCTCCCAACGTGGCTCTTGCTTTCCTTCGTTTTTCGGGAACAGCGAGAAGAACACAGTCCTGCTTCAGGCAATTAGGTGGGAAAGCACCCACGGGCCCACAAGCCTGCAAATCCCCCTCCACCCGCCCAAAGCAGCAAGTTGCAAACCTCCCAGGGCGCAAACAGCTCCGGCCAGCCGCGGCGCTGCGCCCCTCGCCTCGCCAGCTCGCCCTCAACTCCAAACTTCATGGCTCTCAAAACTTACAACAAACTTGTCCCGCAGCGGCGGCTCTCTCGGGGCGCACCCTCGATCTCCTCAGCGCGCCGCGGAGCGCAGGACGGCAGTGCCGGGGGTCTCACGGGGCCCGCACGTCCGCATGCTGCCGCCCGCCGGCCTCGCCGCCCGCGCGCCCCGGTCGCCCCGCTCGCAGCCGCCCGCGCGCCCCGCTGGCCGCCGGCTCGGCTCTGCACGGCCCCGGCGCCTCACGCGCCGCGCGCCCGGGGTATCCCTCCGCCTGCGGCCACGCCTGCAAGCGCCGGCGCTCGTTTCTGCCGCGCGGAAACTCGAGCCCACTCCTCCCGGCCGCGGGGGTCGCGGGCAGCCGGCTGCCCGCCTGCCTGCCCGGGGGTCGCCGGATTCCCTTATCCCCCACCACGGCCAGCTCCGTGAGGGGTGGAGACGAGCAGACGCTCAGGGGACACTCTGAGGAATGGTCTGGGGCTTGATCTATGCTGAGGATCCTTAGCGCCAGCACACAGCAGCCGCTGAGGCGAAGAATTCATATGGAATGTTCTCTGCTAGCAGAGGGAAAACACTAGCGCAGCTCAAAAAAAAAAAAAAAAAAAAGTCAGGTAAGGCCTCCTGGGAAACGCTTTTCCAGTATCGCTTGAGATTTTTCCAGAATCTCTAGGGAATTCCCCCATCTGCATTTCAATGCCTTGGTTGTGAGTCCCCAGTTACTTGCTGGGGGAAAAAAAAATCTCCCGAAAGGTCCCTGAAGGAATGCAGTTAGATCTGAAGCTACTTCCTCCTTAAATCGACACTTCACTCCCTGAGAAACAAAACTGCTTCTCCCCCTCTTTGTGCTGAGGCGGTCGCCGGCCCCCCGGCAGGGAGCCCCAAGTCTGCGCTCCCCGAGTCTGAGGGGGTCACAAAAGGCAGCTCATGCCCCACCTCCGCTCGCCCAGTCAGAGCGACCCGAGGGGCCGCAAAACTGCGAAACCCCGAGGAAAAAAGCGAAGCCCGGGGCGTCGTGCCGCCCACTCCGGGAACATCCCCGACAGGCTCGGCAGCCGGTCCCCGGCGCGGCCCCGCTGGCCGCCCCCCGGCAGGGGCGGGCTCGACCTCGCCAAGTTGGGGAGGCTCGAACGTCTTAACGCGGTAGAGAGAGACCCGGCCTCCCCCCGGGGACCGGTAGGGAGAGGGCGGGGATGGGAGAAACCGGTGAGGCAGACGAGAGGGGCTTCATGGGGAAAGTGAATCCCCCTGCTTTAAAGTTAATGCCGTCCCTCAAGTCATCTTCAAGAAGGTGAGTGGAACTAGAATGGTGTCCGAGTGTGGCTGGGAAGAGGAAAAAAAAAAAGCACGGGCGCGGAACGCGTGCGTTCGTATGTGGCGCTCTTTTTTGCTGCTCACTCCCGAATATAGACACAAATCCACCACACACCCAGCGTGTAACAGCAGCAACCAAAGACTGGCGCAGCCACAGCCTCGGCTGCGCCAAGTGCTCCTGGAGTTACAGGTCAGTTTGGTCAGTGCGGCGAAACTGGGTGGCCTGGTATTCAACATCAGCGGGTGTGCACCCTTCCCAAAAACATAGCCACCGCAGAATGCCGGCCGTTGGTTTGGGGATTTGGGGGGAGGCAGTAAACGCTCCGGGGGCGGGAAGGGGGGGTGTCTAAAAACAGCAGTGAAAAAAACTACAGGATTTTTTTTTAAATAGTACAAAAAAAAAATTCCTGGAGAAAATTACCACTCGTTAGAAACTAATAGCGCTACCACTAAAGATCCGTTGAGGAATGCTGATTTTTCCAGGCCAAGTGAGAAATCCAACGGCCTGAAGAAAGTGGCACTTGGTGGAAGCAGAGGTGGAAATTTCAGACTGTGGTTTCGCCGCGATTTTACTGTCCCTTACAAAGTCCCAACAGAACGAAATGGAGATGCCTTTTTGGCTGCGATCGAATTACCTTTACGTGGAAAGAGACAAATGTGGTTCGCTTTTCATATATCTGTCCTTTATAAACCGTCGGCCGCTCAACTAACTCCGTCCACAAGGGCTCAGGAAAATTCAGGGAACGGAGGGAGAAGGTGGGTTCCCGAAACAAACAAACAAAAAAAAAAGCTTTCCCCTGGCGGCGGTGTCTGCCTGCAGTAAGCCCGAGGTAGATTTTGGAAATCGTATTGCGGGCCCGGTAGTGGCAGGGAAAGCCACGGCGGGGGCACAGACGTGGTGCCTCTTTGCTGGAGCACCCTGCAGGGCCAAGTTCGCGAGGAAGCCGGCCAGGAGCGCGCCTTGCCCGCTGCCCGGACTAGAGGGCGCTGCGCCACTGCAGATCACGCGGTCCCCGGATCGCCGTCCCCAAGGCACCATTTCTATAATAAGTTACATTCAAAATCATGCACAAACGGCATCGCTTCTCAAGTTCTTCAGAACAGTGCCCTGCATGGATTGTGTGAATTCCTTCAAGGCCAAGTGTACAGACCTCTCACGCCCAAGCCGTGCACCGTCAAGGGTGCGCAGCTCCCTGCGTAGAGAGCCCCTCGAATGCACACTCTTCCCCCGCACTCCTTAGAGCCAAACACCTCCCCTAAATTTCCTCGACGCTTGAACTTAGATACTAAAAGGCATGCACTAAAACAAAGAACTCACCGTCCAGCTGAGTTCTTGGGGGTCCACCGTGAAGTCCCCGGCCGCACCGTAATGCCCACGCGCTAGGCTGTGTGTTAAGAGCCGGTTCTAAAGTACTAACTTCGCCTCCCTCGGATCTTCACCATCTCCCCAAGCACAGCGCCATCAGTGCGAGTTGCCGGGACCCTGGTGGTCGCATCTCCAAGAGGCTTCTCACCACGGTGAAACTTGAGCCCCCCCAAAGGAGGTGGAAAGAGGACACACCAGGGCTAGGAAAGAGCGGGCCCAGGAGAAGCCAAGTTTGTCAGGACATGTCCAGGCAGCGAGCAGCCGAGTTGAGGAGTTGCGACCGGGAGCTGCGGCGGCTCAGTGCCTCTGTTCCCCACTCCCTCCCTCGTGGAGAACCCGGGGTGGGAGGAGAGGGGAGGTGACGTCAGTCAGCGCCCCGCCTCGCCCCCAGCTCCCTCGGCGTGGACGGGATTCTCTCGCCGGGTCGACTCCCGTACCGCAGCGGTCTCCGCGGCCGAGCCGTCCCCACGGGAAACGGCTGTGCTTTTGCTCCCTGCCTTGTCTCCCAGAGCTCCGCCGAACCCTGGCGTACTTCGCACTCAGCACCGAGACGCCCGGGGCTCCTTGGCGCGGGCGCCTCACTCCCGGGTGTCCAAGCCCCTCCGGCAGCGTTTCCCACGCTTCGGACTGCAGGTGATGCTCTTCCTCTTCAGCGACTGAATCCGTCGCGACGTGTCACCCACCCTTTCGCAGGGCTTGGGCAGACTGGCCTGGACGACGTGGACTTTCTGGCCCTGCAACTTCTGAATGTGATCAGTTTTACATAGTTGTGAGCTAGCGCCGTTTGTGGCCTTCGCGTTGAAAATCACAGAGCCTTGTTCCGGTGTTCTGATCCTTGCCCAGTGCTCTTAAGTCTTTAGACCCTACTCTGAAGCACCGAGGGTTCCTAGGGGCGGGGCAAGACACGCTGGAGCAGACGATTTCACAGTTGTCTTACCAGTCATCCAGTCAATTGAGGCTGAGACACAACTCAGTCGTTCGCGTCTCCGGGACACTGTAGATTTAGATAAGTAAAAACACTGTTGGAATTTAATTCATTGATTCATGCTTCGTTTTAATGTAAGCATCCAGGCTTCAGGAAAATACTTGCTGTGAATTTTTTTTTTAATGTCACTAAAAGATCAGAATAAAATATCTCCTGAACAGCATGAAATTCCGAGGGAGCCATTTCTGTAAGTTGACAGTGTCCCCAGAAGATTGACATTAAAATGAGAAGATCCTGGAAAGGGGGGAGGGAGAAGGGGCGTGTTCCACCAACATGTGAGCGGGTGGTTGGTGTAAATCTATTGGTCAGTTTAGTCAGTCGTTCTATTTGAAAGATGCAGAGCAAATTCCTGAAGACACAGGCAGCAGGGTAAGGTGTTCAACAGTCTGGGGAAACAGCGATTCAGTAGCGGGTGTATAGGCGGTACTGAGCAGCATTCTCATCTGTGAATGGAAATCATAGCTCTGTCACGTGGTAAACATGGATTCACAGAGTTGACGGTTGGAAAAATAAAGCTAAGGAGCGTCAGTTGTTTTTCAGTAACATAGCATTCATTCATGCAGGCAATACACTTTGTCCAGGGCTTCCTATAACCCGCCTGGCCAGCACACAATAGGCGCTTAATCTGTATTCATTCTCATCCCCTCCCCACAGTCTTTGCAGAGTCTCAGTTTTCTTATCTGTAAAGTCAGAAAGGGTGAAAGCATGCTCTCACTCATGGTTCACAGTACGTTTTGATTTAGTAGGGAGAGGCAGGCTCTCTGGTGCTGGGAGAGTCAGGGCTATGGGAAAGCACCTTAGAGGCCCACCCCACCCCACCCCACCCCACCCCCGACCCAGGGGGCACCAGAAGGTGTCAGATTCCTGCAGAGAGAGGAGACAATGGAAAGGAAGCCTGGGCCTGCCAGGGCCCAGCATGCACTTGTCATGCTTCCCCTGGTCAACTACACAGGCTCCCTCCTTTTATGTCAGTAGTTGAAATCAGAAATTGACCACACATGACAAGCCCTAAACATTTTACATCCAGAAATGCTCTCTGAGGTGCTGCTGTGCAAGTCACTTTGCTTTGCTCTCCGGGTCTTTAGTATTGATCTAGGTAAACCACATACTTTCTATTTTCTTTTTAGGAAATAAAAATGCAAATGAGAAGGACTAAGGCATAACAATTAATGGTATGAATCAAAACAGCTTTAAAAGTGAGAGGGGCAACAGAAAACTCTCAACTAAACCTACAGACAGACATTCAGTGTCCATTGTAATAGGTATCCTTTAGCCATTTGTGACCAATTTAACTTAAACTAAATTTAAATTCAGTTTCTTAATCTCACTAGTTACTTTCAAGTGCTCAGTTCATGCATGTCTTAGTAGCTGCTGTACTGATCAGAGCAGAGAGAGGGACATTTTCACCATGACACAGAGTTCTGG